GTACTATCAGGACTGAATCCAACTATCCTGTCAAATCTGCACACAGTAGAGTTGCGAGGAAACAATCTAAAGTCTACAGCTGGAATCTACTTGCCCAAACTCAAAAACTTGTACTTGGTAAGGGGACTTATCCCCAAACAGCCTTTTCACTATATATCAAACTAGACATGGTAATTGTGTACATAATTATACCGCAGAGTATATAGTTATAGAGGCTACAGAGAAGCCTGAGAAACTCTGATGATGTGAAAGGTAGGGCATGCAAATGAAAATCTTCCCTTTTTTGCCTTTTTAAAATAAATTTATCCAGGTTTTCCTTGCAATACATATAGCAGCTTCAAAGACACAGTTTATGCCTGATTGTGGCAGGTGAATTTGGTTAAACAGAAGATATGTTAAATTGCATAGTCTGATCTTTGTATTTCAAAGTGGATATGATTTCAATCATTAACATGTAGAATTACAGTCCAATGTTAGTGCACAATTTCCCAAGCTTGACTCCAATTTCTGTTGATGTACTGTAATGATTTTACAAAGAACTCCACAGATCTGGGTTCAGATTCCCATTCTAGTTCCCACAAAGTCCACTGAATGAGGCAGCCACATTCTCAGCAGTCTAACAGTGTTATAGTGAGGATAAAAAAAGAGTGGGAGGACAGAAATCATGCTGGGCTCCTTGAAGAAAGAAACAGCATAATCTTGAAATTAAATTAACAATAACAACAAAATGCCAGTGTTAAAATTGATCACTGGGGAATATAGAGGGGAGGGAACATTAGTGTTGACTCGATTTTGTGACACATTGTGGCAAGAATGTGATTGTGCTCTTGCATATTAATTCATCTTAGACAATATCTTTATTACACGAGATCACAATAGAATACAAACTATCAAGATATTCTTGACTCTTAATCAGGCAAAATTATAACAAAAAGATTTATAGGAGACAGAGGCAAATGCTGACTTGATTCTGAAGCCGTAGAATCTATAAGTAGTGATGCCTAACCTTTTCAGCACCAAGTGCCCAAAGCGTGTGCACATTCCCAAAATGCAATGTGTGTGTGCCCTGTGCATGCGTCCCTCCCCCCTGGATATGCGGCACAACTCCTTTGCGTGCCCTGCCCCCCCACGCATGCATGGCAGAGACCTAAAGACCAGCTGGCTGGTGGGATGTGCACGCGTGCATGCACTAGGACAATGGCACATGTGCCTAGAGAGAGGGTTCTGTATGCCACCTCTGGCATGTGTGCCAGAGATTCACCATCATGGATCTATAAAGTTTAGATTTTTCTCAATTTTCTCCTAAACTGTTGTAAAGCCCAAGTAAGGCTTGGAAAATGATATCCCTAAAATTAATTAGTTGCAAACACATGACTGGTTTATAAGGTCTCTTATTCCTCATTATTGGGTGACTGTACTTTCAATTTAACTCTGATATTCTGTTCTCTACAGCATACCCTACAATACCCTCTTTTTTTAGGCTCAGAATACTATTAGTCAACTAGAAGACTTGGAAAATCTGGAGCAACTCACAACTCTACACCTGCGTGACAATCTAATTGAAGTGTTGGATGGTTTCTCAAGCAACATGAAGTCTCTTCAGTACCTCAACCTACGGTGTGTGAGCTTCTGTATCAAATATCAAAGTCGCCTTGGAAATAAAGAGAATAATATGAGAAGTTATGTTTAAACCAAGTCTTCCTGATAAATATCAATTTTTAGTTTTTTTAAAATGCACTATAACATTACTCCTATTGGCTGCATTAGAGCACAGTAACAGGGACAACATTACATGGCGGTGGTTAAATTATTGGATACGAAGTGGGGAGAATGGATTCTAGTTTATAGTCACATTCATTCCCACTGGATTTTGAATAAAAAAATAAGAGGGAACTTTATATATGCCAGCCCCACCCTCACCCCCAAACAAGGTACAAAATGAGGCAAAGGCACAGAAGAGGCATCTGAATTATATAGCAATTATAAAAAATAATAAATGACATCTTTTGTTCAAAATGAAATGTTAAGGTCAATGGAAATTCAAAGACTTACCTGCAACTACAGGAACTCCCATTTTGCATCTTAAAATATAATCATAGCATGTTCCCATTAGTGACTTCTAAAATCTTCCTAGCATCACTCAAACATAATTGAGGCAATATAAAGCTTGCTCTCAATATAATTACATCAGTACAATGATTATTCAGTAATTGTAGACAATACTACAGCTCACTAGTAGGATCTGATATAAGGTACCCTGATGTAAAGACGTTAGATTTATAGAAAATATATAGTAGCAGCCAACAGACTTTTAAAGCTTCTAAGACATTTACTCTATCTGAATAGTGTGGTTTGTAATTTAAACAGTTGCAGTTTACAATCATTAATTCCTACTGATCCCAACTGGTCCTAAGGTGATGATTATTTTTATCATTGTTGATATTATTAATAACTTAGATTTAAATGTCCTGTGCCAAGAATAGCTTATTATGACCATAGCTTAATGGGAAGATTCTGACACCAGATGTCTTACAAAAGTAAATGATTGTACAAGTAAAGTAGGCCGGCAAAGGAAACATTTAAAATTCAGAAAAACTCCTTCTTTTTTAAATATGCCATTTATTCTTCCCATTTCCTTCTGAAATTTATTGCTTTCTTTAAATTATTATTTTCCTAATAAGGGTATATTGTAAGGCAGATATCTCTTTCCCATTTCTGCAGGGGAAATACAATTGCACAAGTACAAGAGTTGGAAAAGCTGCAAGTGCTGCCCATGTTACGAGCCCTGGTCTTGTTAGAAAATCCTTGTTCTGATGAATCGGAATACCGTGTAGAAGCCCTGGTCCTGCTCCCAAACCTGGAGCGCCTTGATAAAGATTTCTTTGAGGAAGAAGAGCGCAATGAAGCTGCAGATATACGTCAAAGGCGAAAGGAAGAAGAGTTGGAGTTACAGAAAGAAAGAGAGAGAGAGAAGGAGCTTGAAGTGAGACAAGCAAAAATATATTTTTTTCTGATTAGAGGGATACAAAATATAAAAGAGCCAGCCCTTTTGTCTTTTGTTACAATTGCCTTAGATGTTTTTCTTTTAAGTCTATAGTGGTGCCACATATGGATCATAATTGAGAGTGGGCACAGGGAGACTATATTATAAGCACTGGAGGGAGATGAATTCTATATGGATAATAAAGTTCCTTGTCAAGGTTGTTAAACTATTTTGTGCAGTTGCTTAGTCTTGAAAGATGCATCTGGATAGCTCTCATTAACTATAATACATTTTATATTACCTTAATCCTTAATCCTTAACAGTATTCCATTATAGCATAAATTTGTTGCAATACAAATCTATTTTAATTGAAAGCCTACATTTGATGAAGGAGATATAGCCCACAAAAGCTTAATTTCATAATAAATTGTTTACAGTGATCTTTAAAATTCTTCAGCATATGTTATATTTTTATGCAGCATATTGTTATGACTTTCCTTTGGAAATTTGTAAACAAATGCAAAGTTGGCAGAGGCACAGGAAGAGAAAAATAACATCTAATTTAAAGAAATACAAATATAATGGAATCAAAAGATTCTGTTGTTGCATGGATAAAATTCTGGATTCTGCAATGTCACTATCTCTAAATGAGCCTTTGGAAAACAGAATAAATCATTCCATAACAAGAGTTGATGGAACTGAAAGGAAGTAGCAGATTGTGCTGTCTATACAATATAGCAGAAGATTTACAGATGCAATTTTAAAAAAAAAAGCACCAGAAGCAAACAGACATTATTGGGAAACCACTGGAAAAAAAACCCTGATAATGTCATTTTATAAAATGATGGTGCAGCCACACTGAGCAGAGGATCTAATACCGGTATCTATAAGGAAGGTATTGAGAATCTTACTAAGTGAAGATACTACAGAAGTAAATAAGGATGTGGGTTGAGTACAAGGAATCAATAAAGGTGATAAACAGTAGCTCAAAATAAAATATGTGCAAGGAGATTCTTGAGCAAAGACTACATAACTGAATATCAGATACATGAATATATGGACATTGTCCCTACCTTACAAAGCTTTGAAATTGTACTAAGACAAATGTGTAGGAAACAGTTTGATTATTCCATTATTCCAACAGTATGTACACCCCTGATGTATAGATGAGTAAAATCATACCTGCTTAAAATAAAGGTACTTCATTGTTTATTGTTTGTAAAATCCACAATATGCCTAGAATTGTACAAAAATAAAAGGCAAATAATTCACTGAGGGTGCCTTCTTGAAGTGGAATATCCAGATTAATAGGAGCTGATACTCTTGCTACTTCCAACAGAATTTGCCAAGGAGACCGTCTCTGAAGATTATGTTGTTCCTATCTACTATCTGGGCTATTATGATGATAGTCATGGAAAATAACTTGCCTCTGATGCAGCCTGTATACTTAGAGTATCCCTGATGCTTTGCCATTCTAACATCCTCATTTGGAAATACTCTGAGACTGTTCTTTTTCCTCATATTTTTCAGGAAGCAGAAGACACCACTCAAGAAGACTTAACAACTGAGTGACAAGTATATGAAAGTCCCCAGAAAGAAGTAAGAGCTGTAAGCCACCTTCCAGAGTCATTTTCCATGTGTTGTACAGCTCTGACCCAGTTAGCACTAATCTTGGCATGTCATAACAGAACAGTATTGTATCGTTCCTGGATGGAACCATAGTGGATAGCATTTGCAGATGGTTGTCTGTTCTTTCAAATAAGTTGTGATTGAAGCATTTCAATAATAATAAAAAAAAAGAGTCTGGTGAAGCAAGGCAAAGCATGTTGCTTTTGGCATCCCATTTCTGCAGCACTATTTCCCCCTCCCTTCCCGAGTCGCTCCATCCTCTACGTGCTGTTTGCAAAGCTCCCTAGAAATCCTGACTCATCGTCGGCTCTAGGTCACATGCTGCCATCCTGGCCCTATCAGGGGCGGCACTATCCCACCACTGCTGCTGTTGCTGCTCATCCACCTACTGGCACAGAGGATACAGAAGCTTCCCTTCAAGTCCTGCATCTTTCAGCTCACCATCTAACTCCTCTTAGCAGCACTGCACTAGGAGGGTAAGTGCCATTCCCATCTCCCCTGCCTCCCCCACTCCCAGTGACTTAACTGTGGCTCTCAGCATTTACCTTTTTAAGATTACTCCCTTAAAGCATTACAAATATTGTCTTTGCCACTCTGAATCTTTTTTTTTTTCATGTGAGCTTTCTAACACATGACCTTCTGAGCTTTCTGTCTCACCTTTGGTGGCTGCAAATTCCTCTCTCTGGGTATTGTGTTTGTGATACCCGATCAGAACTGTAGAGTTGAGAGTTGGGGACAAAAAAAGTGATGCATTTTAACAGAGATGTGCAGGGAACCTGACAAGCCTTTTTTACCCTAAGGCTCAAGCTGAGCTTTCCCGTTATCATCAGCTATAGGCAAGTACATGGTGCCATTGCAGACTGTACCACAACTATGAGTGACACAGATACATTGGACACCTGTATTCCACTTTGGGATCCTGAAAGGAAAGCAATGGCAGCCCGATAATCTCTTATTGCACCATTTTAAGATGAGGGTGTGCTTTCCATCTTTTTGCTGGCATCTGGGAAAATAAAGATGTGGATGGGTTTCATGTGACCAGTGCCTCATCTGAAAGCCTGGAGCTGCAGTCCATGCAGACATAACAACATTCAAACAGCTTCCCGTGGCTTCCTTGGGCTCCTCAACTGTGTCTCCTTCTCTCCCACCCTGGCCAATCCTTATCCCTGCTTATCTGAGCCTGACCTCCTTTCAGAACCAAATTGCTCCTGGTGCCTCTGATTTTTCTTACTGCTGGTTTGGAAAGTACTTGTGTGGGAGAATGGAAAGAGAGATGGTGGAAAGAACTGAAGAATGAGGACCAATGTGACTGGGGGATTGGGGAAACAGCTTGAATAAATCCATCTTTTCTGAACCTAGGAGTCTTTGAAGGATGGGGACAAAACAGAAGATACAAACCAATAAAATGTTCTGACCTCAATCAGTACTGGAATTACTCAAGTGTATCAATAGGGCTGATGAACGGAGAATTCTAGATTGCTTACACTTTGGACTCTGCCAAAGAAATGCTGAAACTAATGGAATCCTCAATATGGATGCCAATCGATACATGACAGAACGTAGAGAAGAAATAAATAATCTCCTGATACTTGAACAGAGAAATTTCTGAGCTCCTAGTTGAATCTTGCTATCTCAGCATGACAGTCTGGAATAACAGGTCAGAATGGTGGGTGGGAGGGAAATATATACTTTCAGGAGCCAGAAAATTCCAGCCTTAATGACTGACGCTTAAAGGCCCTGGGGGCTTTTCTTGCAAAGTGACTGCTATTTTTATGGATTAAAATGGATAGGAGAGAAGAAGTCTTAATTCTGCCACAGTTTATACAGTTTATATAGCCACAGTTTATGTGGCTTAGTATATTCATTTGCCCGTTCTGGGTCAGCCTTCATCTCCAGTCTCATAGGTCTCTCTCTCTCTCCTAGATCTATTGTGGCTTTCATTCCGCTCTGTATCTGGCAACTGCATCACGGTGGTGCAGGTAGAGGAATGTCCATAAATATCTTCCTGATGACACTAAAGGGCAATATTGCTTCATCATTCTTATCTTCCTTTCAGATTATAATCATACATATATATATATAGGAGACTTCACGAAGGAATTTTGAATTATTTTCTGGATTTGCCCACTTTTAGGACTTTTGATAAGAATGAGTAGACCCCCTGCTTTCATGCCAATGAAGCAACTGACTGTTTCTTTCTCTGAATACTTCATTTGTACCCTTGACATCTTTATGTTCAGAATATTAGAGGTGGTCGAAGACACATAACACAATCTAACTGGAGTGTAAGAGTACAACCCTCTGTGAGACCTGGATTGGAGCCGTGGAAGAATTATGTGAGAGGTGCTCTGAGATTCATGAAGGAATTGTAGTTTTTACAATAAATATGTGGCTGTTTTAGGCATGAGTGTTGCTCTGTGTGATCACTGTATCTCTGGTCAAAAACCCATCTTTCATCTATAACGTGTAAGTTGTTCAGATAAAATGTAAATAGCATGAGTGGTAAAGAGTCTTTTTAATTAAAAATATGAACACGTCCAGCAAGGAAAAATTAAAAATTTCTTTCTAGTAAGGCACTAATCCTGAGGAGTTGCTTAGCTCTACTAGTAATCCATTTGTACATACTGTATTTGTGTATGTTAACTGCATTTGGCTTCCCCAGGGAGCTGAGAGAATAGTGGAATGTGAGATATAAAAGCAGTTAAGTTCAGTATGTCTTACTTAAAAATAAGTGTAATTAAAATTGCAACCTGAAATGGTTAAAGGAGGAAGCTGTGCTTCGTAGCAAACAAATACATGCACTGAAAATCAGTTGTTATATTTTTCATCTCCCCAGTAAAACTGCACATGCTGGGACAGGCAGAATTGAGTTTTTATCAGAGGCAAAAATGTGAATATCTCGTCTCTTCTGTGAATGCAGAAAAAAGGGGAAATGCACACAGGTAGAATCATTCATTTAAGAAAATAACTTTTTCCTCTACTGTTCTGATTCTTAAATTGTAAAGCAACAGTTCAAAACATGTAAGTTTGGTTCTCGTAAATCTCAGAATTTAGGAATAACATTTACAGAGCTAGAAGAAGAGCCAAATGTCTCAACTTGTAAACATGCTGAATGATGAACAATTATTCTTGGTATAGGATTTGGGTTCCCTGGAAAGATTTCAATCCTTGCAAAGAGCACATGCTCTGTTAAATGATGGTAACACACACACACAGCCACTTTGGATGCTACACAATAATGGCATTATCTGGAAAGACCATTGTTACCTCCACATCATTGCAATCAAGAAGTGTGAACAGTATACACTCAAACTAATGCCCTTAAAGAACTATAAAACAAGATATAGGAAAGTATTAATGTTTTGTCTTGCAAGGATATTTCCACATAAGGCTTTAAAACTGCTTAGATGGAAAGGTAGCCAAACTTACAGTCTCCTGCTACTGTCTAGTGGTGGGTACCCATTTTGAAGATGGGTGGTCTACCAGATGAAAAGGGAGACCAACATAGGGGTCCTTATCAGTGGGAAACTACCCATCTTCAAGAAGTGCAGAGATCTGGAGTTTCTTGCAGAGAACCAGAAGATTTCGAATTTCTTTTGGGCCAGAGGTGAGCTGAGAATAATTGGGTTTTTAGTTTTAATTATAGTTAAATTTATTTATACTTAAAATTTAGTTTTATGCCACACGAATAGCATATAACATAGTTGTTAATATAATAGAGCAAACCTGTGGTGGATTAACAGTACCAAAAAGTGAGTCCAATTTGAGCCATAAGTAAGTCCTAAGTCATGGGAAAGTCCTAATCAAATTCTATGTAGTAAACTGTCCTACTTTCCTTATGGCATAGCTCCTCTTTATTTTAATAGGATTTGAACAGGTGACCATTCTGAATAGATTCTGCCATGAAGTCCAAATCTGGATTTTCCATCTCTAATCCTCTGTGATATACAGTATATCATTACTTTTGCCTAGTGCCATCTGTGATACATTGTTCATGCCTCATACAGCATAATGCACCTTCATTTGTGTACAGCTAGAGTCCAAATATTTATTGAACGAGGAATTTTGACAAAGAATCTGCAACTACTTCATCAAAATACAATTTCTATAATTGTTTGGAGAATCCACCATACCCAAATAGCTGTTCTTCAGCTACTAGGGAACACGAACTGCAGGATACTGTTATATTCACATACTACGCTAAGGCCTCCCACAAGCATATAGCTGGTTACCGAGAAAATAAAGAACTGGACTTGATAGGCTGAAGATGTGGTACAACACAGCCATATTAGCTTTTAAACTAGTTTAAAATTTGTTTGGGTTCTATTATACATTTGCCATCAGTTTTAACATATTTCTCTTTCTTTGATAGCAAAGGGAAATACTTTGTGTTTTTTTAAATATTTTTTTTATTTTTACTATATAAAGAAAGAGCAACAGTTTCAATGTCTATATAAACAGTGTGTTGTCTGGTTACAGTTAATTTGAGCAATCATCATTATGTTCATTAGTAGTTTCTCCACATATTAATACTTAATTGTTAATACTAAATCATATTAAAAATAAACATATAGTGAACCCTCATGGTAAAATTAATCCTTCTCTTATCATTTTAAATGTTCTAACTTCTATTTCTGTTAGTTAACCATTGATAAAACAAATCTCATGTTTTAAAATATTCTGTATTTTCCTTTTCTTTAATTTCAAGTGTTAATATATCAATTTCTGCACATTCTATTATTTTTTGTTATCTTTTCTTCTGTAGGGATCTCCACACCTTTCCAATGTTGTGCAAATATAATTCTGGTCGCTGTTAACACATGTAATATTAAATACATAGTCCCTTTATTATATTTTCTGGCAAAGGGGAATACTTTGGAAGGCAAATTTTCCCATTATGGAGAATTTATTGTGCTTTTTCAAGTTTGGGTTACAAGTGGAACGTATCTTATCCATAGTATCAACCTCTGGCATAAGACCTTAAGAACCAATTGGCATGTGATTTAAGCAATTCATGTCTAAATTTACAGCATCATTTTCCAAAGAAAGTTGTAGGATTGGAGGGGAATAGAAATAGGACCAAAGCAAGTGGAAATAAATTATTTTTAAAGCCTTCTGATTCTTGAATTCAAGTAAATCAAACCTCTCCATTTTCAACTGCCTATTCTCTTTTTGGGATGATATAAAAGTAGAAGAAAGCACATTTAACTAACATAATATCTGGAAACATTAACTGCACAGTATGTGATGAAGTAGGTACTAGTCATTTAGGCAGACAGCTAGGTCTCTGGTCTTTTCCCGCCCTTGAGTCAAAATACTATCCACCAAATACTATCCACCCTCATGTCAAGCAGAATATTAGCATGACATGCTAATATTTCAATGCTTTCTCCATTGTCAATCCCCATTCTACCTTTGCATCTGTTACTACCAGTTACCTGATTGCCCTGCAAAGTGACAAACCTAACAGAATTCATAGGCTTGAGGCTTCTTTTGGAGATGTCAGAAAAAAGTAAGAAATCCTACATTAGCACCAGAATACTAAAGACAACTTAAATTTGCCCCAGGAGTTGGAGCAAGATGAAGTCAATGCTATTGGACCCAGCAGAAAAATAGATGTTGAGAATACCTGTACACCATGGTCAGAAGCAAAGATAAATGCCCTCTGAAGAAAACACAACAGGGAATTGAGGAAAAAGCAGATGTGTCTCTCTTTTTTTTCCTTCCTTCCTTCCTTCCTTCCTTCCTTCCTTCCTTCCTATGCCAAGGACAATATGGTATACCTGCATCATTTCCATAGCAAAAACCAAACTCTCAAAGTTGACAATTACATCTTATTCCACTGCAGCTAAAGGCAGAAGTTTACCATAATTTAAGAAGTGCAAGGCACGTTGAATGACATCCAGCTGTTTGTCTCTTGATATTGAACTGCCATGAAACAGTTCCTTTTCCCATAGCCAGCAGTAGAGCTGGCTCTGTAAATGACGAGGCAACATCTTGTCCCCTATAAGACATTCTGATCCATTTGGAGAGTTCAGGCCTCTGCCTTGCTGCTATGAGACTGCAAATTGTTGTAAGACTGCAGCCCACTGAACAGGTGGTTACACATTATGAAGAAAAGACAGTGGAAGCCAGGCCAGAAAAAAATAGGGCACATTATCTGAAGTGCCTCTTTGTTCTGTTACTTTTCTCCCAAGGGTACAGGCAGTCGTCCCCACCACACCTCCAAAAAACGTCTAATTACTTCCAAGCCTATATAAAATGTCTTTCTCTTTGAAGAAATTGCTCCAGTCAAAGATAATGCTACAAATTTGTGCTGTATCTGTGCCATATCGTTGACTGCCTATCCTAAGTGGAGGAGCCCCTCCCAAGTCCTGGACTATCAGGAAAGAGACAGAGTCTTTCATTTGTGTTCCCAAGGATGCAACTTCAGTGGGTCTGTTCAATGCCAGGAACAAACCCCTGAATAGGAAGAACAGAGAGCATTTTTCTCCCAGAGGGTCCTTAAATAGAAGAATGACAGAAAGGACTTCTGGCTGAGAGGGTCTTATTACCAGAAAAGCAAATGACTTGCTATAGCTTTTCCTACCAAATCAGATGGTAGGCAGCGAGAGTGTTCCACTTGGACTGGCTGACTCATCTGCACAGCAGCTGCAAGATTGTGAGATACGCCTTCAGCCTAAATGCACCTCAGAAAATTGCACCAGCTACTTTTAAGAGCCAGGGCTGTATGTCATATTTGTATTCACAATGTAAGACTTTTATAGCATTGCCAACCACCACCCCATTTTATCCTTTACACTCTTTGCACTGTTTGTTTTGCACTGTTCCTATTTCTAGCTGCGGAGCTTTTTAATGGGGACAGGGATGTGAAAGATCATAAGATGAACGTTTTAAAGCTAACTCTCTGTTTTCCATTCTCTTCTTGGGCTTTCTATCTTTATTCTCCCCCAGGAAATCCCATTTCCACAATGTCCATTGAGGAGATTCGTGCCCGGGAAATCCTAGACTCTCGTGGGAATCCAACTGTCGAGGTGGACTTGTATACCTCAAAAGGTACAAACTGACAAGGAAGAAGCAGTTTGTATCTTCTTCTGCAGCCCATGCATTGAACTAATGTAGTTGTTCTACTGAAAGGAAATGAGCTGGAAAGGTCAGGTGTTACCAACCCTAGATGACAGAAGGATTGAACAGTGTTTTCTTTTTCCTCCCATCTCTATCAAATGCCTCACTGAAAATCTGAGCAGTAGTTTTAGCTGTGCTCATTTACTAATTCCCACTACTAGAGCCAATAGAGTAAGGAAAGGAAAATTCCTGCAATAGCAGGAAGGTATGAAGCAAAAAAATGATAAAATAAGAATTCTTACATTTACATACATACTTAGACCTCTGAAATTGATTTGAAATTCATAGTTTTCATACTTGAAAGTTAGAAGAAATCGTGGTATTTCTTCTTTGGCAAAAAGCTAATTTTGATGCTCAGGCCAGCCCATGCACCCATCAGACTTGGCCAACAGACAACAAGCCTACTCTAGTTTTTATTCAGGCCCAATGGGAATGATTTCTGTTGGAGGATTCTTATTAATAAAAAGGCAAAACGATGGAAATGATGGGAAAACATAAAAAAGTAGGAGGATACTATTTATACTTCCAGGGAATTCAATGGGCTTCCAATCAAAAGTTCATGAACATGAGAACAGTGATGTTGTAAAAACCTTACTTGGAAGTAAATCGATGCAATTTTCTGCCTCTATATGGCATAAAGCCCATCACATAAAGTTCCACCATTCATCCAGAGAAAAAGAAGCAGAGATTATTTAGACCAAAGGTAAGTAGTGTAGGGATATAAAACTTAAATAGTAATTTCATCCATTTCTCTTGTAGTAAATTAGTGTGTTGTGACTAAGCATAATCAACTAGGCAGCCATTTTGTGAATGGATACACCTTCCACAGCAGCCATTTTGTGACAGTGCCCATAACATGCCCATAAATTCAGATGTGTCTAGAACGTCAGAGACTGCCAATACCTAAGCTGGAGATAAATACAAGAAACAGAAATATCTGAAATAGATATCTATAGTCACACAAAAATGTTAACTATGAGAGAATTTAGAAAAGAAGGTATAAAATAAAACCTGAAAGAAACCAGGACTAAAAGCTGATCCTTTCACCCTTTGGTGTTTTGGTGCTTCAAAGCTGGGGCAAGGAAAAAGAGACCCAAGGCAGAGCATGCAGATTGCAAGGGCTCTTTGTTAGCAGAGGATCATCCTGATCCCAAATCTCATTGAACTCCAGGGCCTTAAATCACAAAATTGAAATGTTACACTTTTAATCAATTTGCAATCAAATGAGAAGAAAAGCAACATGCTAATTTAATTTAATTTAAAGAAGGCAAGATTATATGCATTCTAGAACCCCCATCTGAAACTGTACCAAAGTCAAAGAGATCTTGGATTAAGAGAAATTAAAGCAAAGGAATGGAAAGGAAGACAATACAGTAGTGACAAAAACCATAGTCTATGCTTTGAAAAGAAGAAGTAGAATACTAAAATCAGACAAAAGGAAACAAAATGTCAGAGAGTAAACAGCCAACCACATTCATTTTTCCAGCCACCTCCCAACAATCATAAATAAAAGTTAATAATATAATAATATAAACAAAGAAAGCAGAAAAAATACTCTTCAAACAAGTGAAAGGTCTGCATAAGAACAGAAATGAAGTAGAAGCTTGGGAGCTATAAAAACTTAGTAAATAAGAAAAAATAAGTAAAAAGTAAAGTAAAAAGTAAAAAGTAAAGTAAAAATAAGTAAAGTAGGAATGACTTTTAAAGGAAAGAAAAAAATGATCAAAGGCTTCGCCATTGACTAAAGTCCATTTATTGGCTGGATAATTTATAAGATTCCATTTCCAAAGACTCCAAAAGACTAAGAGGCACAGGGAGGAAGAACTGTTTTTAATTGCTTCTTCTCAGAAATATCTCTGAGGCATCCACTAGCCAAGGTCACAGTGAACTTTAAATACTTATAGGGATGCTTAAAATGGTGTATTTGTTTTCTGGAATTAATTATTAAAGAAATGATCAGAAATCTTTATATGAGATAGGTACCGATCATTGCAGAAGCAATATATTTAGCATATTTTTTTTTAAAATAGAGACATCTTACAGACATTCTTTGCAAATGTTGGCTGGAATGTTATATTATAAAAGGTATTCTCAAATCATTTTAAGGAAAGACAGATAGCTTGACACATGTTGAAGTATATCATTTAAATAATTATAACTGCCTTAATCACATTATAATTGCATTAATGTAATGTATAGTCATTACATTTGTAATGTAGTTATAGCTATGGCCATAACTTTGGAAAATTGGAGCACAGCTATTTCTTATGGAATAACTGGATCAATCATACTGCCTACATGGTTTTCACCATGTCTTTAAGAAATAATAATAAAATTATTCTTGTTTTTTAAATGAAGGCACCTGTATAACCAGAAGACATAGTTCACTGCTTAGTAGGTCTAAATCAGGGGTCTCCAACCTTGGCAACTTTAAGACTTGTGGACTTCAACTCCCAGAATTCTCCCACAAGTCTTAAAGTTGCCAAGTTTCATCACCCCTGATCTAAGCTATTATTTCTATGAAAGATTCCCATGTTCTGATTTCTTCTCAGGAATGTTCAGGGCAGCTGTACCAAGCGGTGCCTCCACTGGCATCTATGAAGCTTTGGAACTGCGTGACAATGATAAATCCCGATTCCTTGGCAAAGGTAGGGGCATTAAAACTGGAATTACCAAACAATATGGAACAATTTTAGAGAACACTGGTTGTTTATGTCTACTTGTCTGTGTGTACACATAGACTGCCACTTGCTTTTGAAGTAGCAACAACAGCAGATGTTATGGTGTAAAATGTCTGCAAACCAAAATGACTCAGAAAAACTGATAGATTCACAATCTCTGTCTTTATTTTTTACTGCCTGTGTGTGACTCTGCCTCTTTTCCTTGTCTGTAGGGGTTCTGCAGGCAGTGGATCACATCAACAGCACTATTGCCCCTGCTCTTGCGAACTCTGTAAGTTGCCCTTTAGTCTTAATCTTCTCATATTTTGCTTCTAGGCCAATTCTCTCCCCCTCCCTCCCTTGCACTTCCATACAAGGATTTGATAACAGTTCAGAAATCAGTTCTGAATTTCTGACTTCCCAAGATCTTGATAGCACTGCAGGCACAATCTGATTCATTTTTGGCTTGATGATGGTATAATTGAAACACTGCAGAACTGTGTATGATGGTGGTGGCTTGGCTTGGTTGATTTTTGAGAAACAGACACCTCGTTTTTCCATTAGAGGGAACTATTGCTTCATTTCTGCCCCTGAGCTTAGGATCGTGTAAGGGAAACACAGTTTTGCATTTCACTTTCAATAATTCAGGTGAATTGTGAAGCACGAATCAATTACTAGTCTTCCTTTCTATTTCTTTCCTTTCTTTTCCTTTCCTTCCTTCCTTCTTTCTTTCTTTCTCTCTTGTAAAAGGTTTTATTTTGCTTCTGAACCTATAACTGGGAAGTAATGTTTCTCTTCATTTTTAGTTCTGCAAGCTGAGAGAAGCAGAGATATATGGATTGTATTCAAACAGTTTCTGTAGATGTGGAGCATGAAAATGGTGACAGTTGGAAGTGCTTCCTTCCTTTCAGCCTCCCTTTCCCCTCATTTTATTTATTGACAATAAATAAAGACATAGGTATTATCAAAAGACAGAAATTCTTTTTCCAATGAAGTTCAATGAAACAATGAATGCTACAGTACTACAGAACTAAATTTTTGGTGAAACTAAAGATAGTCTACCAGGTAGTTTTATCCAGATTTCTTCTATTAAGAGATTAACTTTTCTTTCTTCAGGCCTTTTCGGTTGTAGAGCAAGAGAAGATAGACAACCTCATGCTGGAACTGGATGGCACAGAAAATAAATGTAAACCCAACTTTTTTCTTCATTAAAAAAATCGGGGGAAAGGTCATGAAGGGAGGGTGAAAGAGCAGCACAATCTAGTAAGACTAAGACTGAATAGCTAACGGTAGAGCAAGAGTGGGGTACTCCTTTCGATTCACATTCAAAAGTCAACGGAGAACAAAATCATGATTAATTGAGAGAGGGAGGTTTCTATTAACACAGCTCACAAAAGCCACTCCTTTTACATTGTATTCTTATGCTGCAGCAAGAAAGCAGATTGAGACTAGTAAACTAAAAAACATCCAAAAAGTAAAGCAGGTGATGGATTGGGACCAGCAAATACTAAACCCAGATTCTGAATGCAAGAGAAGGGGATGGGGCTTAAGCAAGGCAACACAAAACCCTTCCTTAAATTCCTTTATTTTCATTTTTGAAAAAATCTGTTTATTGGTATGGTAAACAGAGCACAAGATCACAAATATAAGGAGTCAACTGGATGAAAAAGCAACACTTATTTGAAGCTTATTTGAAGTCCCTTTGTCCCAAAAGACACAATTACATCAAATGTGTTCTTATTATCTATGCCACTCCCTACATTAATCTATTCTTTGTTGCTAAGGTTGAAGGCAAAACATTTATTTTTGTTTCTTATTTTATACTTCCTAAATACAAACATATACTATTTTGGATTTGCTTTGACGTCATCCATTTTCCCATTTGACACTACACATCTTATCTGACAATAGCAGTTTCTGTGTGCAGCTCTCATCATGCCATGCAATGCTGAATATAATCTTGGTCCCAAAATAGATTCTTTCCCATGTTAGAGAATTAATGGGAAAAAGAATTCCAATCGAACTGAATGAGGCTGAATTCTAAATAGCGCCTCCTAGAATTGTTCTGCATTTTTTAAAATCTCTCACTCCTACATGAATCTCCCCAGTCTCCTTCACTACAATATAAAATTTGAGTGAGCAAGGGAAATGTATGGAATTTTTCAAGTAAAATGGTGAAAGCTGAAACAAAAAAGATGAGAATGTGAAAAAAGATCAGATTAAAATAAGAAAGAAAATGATGAGTTAAAAAGAGAATAGCCCCTCCCATTTTCCACACACACTAGAAACAATGCTATCTATCTGTTGATTCTTTCCCTTCTTCCTTTGGGATTGATTTAGAGTGCAAAGCACTGCCACTGTCTTGCTAGTCTTCTCTCTGCAAAGAACAATGCAAATAATTTATGTTTGCATGAGATCAATAGAAACACATAACCAAACCCAGTAAGGCAACAGGGCAGACCAGTATAAAGCTGCTCTGCTAAATTGACTTCTCTCTCTCTCTCTCTCTCTCTCTCTATCTTTGGATGCATGCTTTTGATGCTGGACTGGTCCTTATGGATTGTTTTCCTAGTAGTGCTTGGAGTGGATGTACTGTATTTTGGCAGGATCAAATGCAAAGGCCTATCAGAACTGGCTTTGGAGACACAGTGGCTCCAAATCAATACTGACTGACTGTATGTTCTGTGTAGTTTAGAACAAATAAGCATACTCACAGGGGATGCACATAGCAGCAACAACCAGCCGAAGAGAGACCAGCAAAAATACATTTCAAGTATATGAGGGGAAACCCAGCGCACCAAAGGTGGACTTCAGCTGAAAAGCTCTGGAGAGCGGAGAAGGGAAATGTTAGCCTCCCTCTCAGAACAAATGAACTGCTACTGTTTGCAGACTACTCTTGGGTAGGAAGCCCAATGGAAATTTTTGTGGCAAAATTAAAAGCAACTATCAAAGCCATGCAGGGAACCCCAGGCCAGATTAATAGCAGATGTTGTGGGGTACCAGAGGCTGGTAAAATCTTTGGCTCAAAGATCTTTTGTTGCACTCTCTCATTATACTACATTCTAATCAATTTTGCAAAATTCACAGCTAAATTTGGAGCTAATGCCATTCTGGGTGTTTCCCTGGCTGTCTGCAAAGCTGCCGCTGCAGAGAAGGATGTACCCCTGTACCGTCATATTGCTGACTTGGCTGGAAATTCAGATCTCATTCTGCCAGTCCCTGTAAGAATCTGGTGATTTTTTCTTGATTTCACACCCATAAAACTGAGGTATGGAGCAGAGAGTCAGGTAACAACAGATTGAACAAGGGTCCAGAAGAACTGGATTTTCCGCAATACTACACCATACACCTTTATAGTCCTTTGCATGCATGCTAGTTTTATATCCATATTAAATATACTGTAGGAACTTTCAAAGCTTATCTTTAGGGTTAGGGTTATAAACATGGTATTTTAGTTCTTCTAACACAATGTTCTTAGCCTCTTTATTCAATCGCAGTAGCTAGGATATTTACAGACGAAAGAAATCATTATGATTAAAACAATTTCAGACCATCATTTACAACTCTTGTATGGTGCTTTAAGATATGTTACTGAAGAGCCCCTCTTCTTGTTCTTGTTGCGAAATTCTTCCAGGCTTTTAATGTGATCAATGGAGGGTCCCATGCTGGAAATAAACTGGCCATGCAAGAGTTTATGATTTTGCCCGTTGGGGCTGAAAGCTTCCGGGATGCCATGCGCATTGGTGCTGAAGTCTATCATAATCTCAAGAGTGTCATCAAAGACAAGTATGGTAAAGATGCTACCAATGTAGGAGATGAAGGGGGCTTTGCCCCAAACATCCTGGAGAACAGTGAAGGTGAGGGGGGGGAAAGGACAACACTAAGAGATGCTGTATTTTGAAAGAGAACATCTCACTTAGAAGGGATGTTCTAAATCAGGGGTGTCCAACCTTGGCAACTTTAAGGCTTGTGGACTTCAACTCCCAGAATTCCTCAGCCAGCAAAGCTGGCTG